TCATATCCATTAATATTGCATCTTGTGTAGTGTATGCAGCAATAAAATAGTAATATACTAACCGTTGTGTGAAAGAATTATGTTAGAAGAAAATATTTGTATCACAAGCTACCAAATGTAGGCTATATACAGAAACATCCTAACTCTGGAAGAATATCTCACATGTGTCTGTTTAAAAGATAAGATGAAACAGTAACTGTAGGCTCTTGAATGATGTTTTAATTTACCAGTCTTTCAGTAATAGTACAACAGAATATCTTGAAGATGGAAAAATATTCAATATCCCACATAAAACAGAAGTATCTTTATCCAGATTGTATCTTCTTGAAATGCATCCAGAGTTTAGGATACTCTATCCATATCAGTTAGTACTAATGTAATTCTTATGCATCTAAAAGTAAATTCAGTTACTGAGACCAACAAATTTTGGAAAGCATAATTTTCCTCAAAGGCTCTCCAGAAGGCTACAGTTACTTTAAAATAGACCCATTCAGCTTCCAAATAAAAATTAATTTCCCATCCTTGATCCAGACTAACCACTTAATGCAAGTGCCTTACATGTTCATTCACCAGCACATTACCAGAAATCAAGTTTTGTGAAATAAGCTTCTGAATTTAAATGTGTGCCACTGGGAGGTATGCAAATATGCCTGTAATTTTCCTCTAACTATGGCATAGATAGGACTGCATATTCAACTTGTTATAAGCTAATATATGTCTCTTGAAGAACATTCGATTTGTAACATGGAGGTAATTTACGTTTTTCACTTAATGATAAATTACAGGCACTGAATACATATTTTTGAAATGGTGTAGCTAAACATATTAATAATAATGAAGTCCTATATATTTTGTTCTTAAACATCTAAAGTTAATGCTTCATTACTGCATAAAAACAAACAGCTGAACAAACAATTTTCATTGATGATTTTTCACCTGTCTACGAAAAATATTGCTCAGTCTTCGGCCACGTGGAGTTACAGGAGTATTCTGCAAACAGAACAAGTACTCACAGTCATAATCAATATAATAAAATTTAAAAGAAAAAGCCTAGTAATTAAATTATGAAAAACAATAAAAAAAAACCTAACAGTATAGGATCTACAGAACCAATAACTTTGTTCTTCTATTATTGCTTCTGTAATATGGATACCAGTATGCAAGTTCTCTTAAACAATGGAACAATTTCAGTGCATTAAAAGAGCAATGTGAATTAGAGGCACAGTTCCTTTCATCCCCTCCTCAAATGTTTTTAAACAAGAGCTTTTATTAAATGTAACAGGAGCTACATTTTCTATATTTTTGTTTCAAATAGCTGCTAGGCCAGTCCATCCCCAAAAGGTTTGTGTCCCTGTTGCAGAGCTGGAAGATTTTACAGCACATTATTCTATGGAAGGCTGGAGAGAATCTAAAATGCAAGAGATGCCAAGACTGTAACAAGAGAGTTATTCTAAAACGCAAAGCCAACTATTTTCCCAAAGCAAAAGAAAAATGGCAGAGACATGTGCATAAGATGCAAATATCTCTAACAAGAAACAATAATGTAGAGAATATAATAGGCTAAAAGTAACAATAAGTTTGTATAATGCAGTAAACCAAGGGTTAAGCAAGAGCAACAACCCAATAAAAATTCCCCAAAATAACATCAGTTCTCAATAAACTGCCAAATAGGAGCCTAACGAATGCTTACCTAAAATGTTTGGATGGTACTCAAAATTCTAAGACTTTAATTACTGCTCATAATTTATACTGATTCTGTAAGTTTTTCTGCAGGCTGCTATTGCCTCCTAATCAAAATAATTAAGTGCCAAAATAAATGCAGCATTTTTTTTTGACAAGTATCCCTAGATGCCTTACATCTAATAAATAAACAATTTAAATGGAATCTAGGTAGACATATATTTTGGTTGCTAAAGAAAACAAAATTTATAAGGGATAAGGTGTATTGTACCAGTCTAATGAGCCAAAAGGAAAGAAATCAGATGCCACCACTCAGGGCAATAGTATGCAGTATTGGGTACATCTCACTGACTGCAAATACAACCTTGAAAGCCAACTCCTAAATGTCAACTGGGAAATTAGACACCAATGGCGAACAGGCAGCCATAATTTTTTATCCCCATACATACACATATACATTTTGAATTATGTTTCAAATATTACCATGACTTCTGGGGGACTATGTACAGACCAGACTTGTTAGTGCCAAGTTCTCCAAAATTTGGCATAAAATTTTGACCTCAATAGCACAATAATTACGTGCATGCTGTTGGGTTTGTATTGCAGAAACTGATTACTGAATGTTCAGTGAAATTAAATGTGCTACAAACAATTTCACTAGTGCAACAAGAGAAAAAAAAACTTAAGTTATGGGTCAGTAGCACTTCAGTTTCATATATGGGAAAACATAAGTTTCAATCTTGGCTAGGAGATTTACAATTGTCAGATTTTTTGGTGATTTACCTCAGTCCCTCCACACAAATAACAGCACAGTATCTGAAATTAGACCACTGCCGCTTCCATCAAGTAAATACGGGGCAATAAAAAAGCCACATATTAAACAATTTATTGATGACTGCAATTCAATAACATTTAATTGGATTAATAAACACACAATATCATTGACTGTACAAGAACCCACTCAGGTCACATCTCACACTAGTCTGTCAGTTGTGTTTCAACAGATGAAGTACAAAGATGTCTTGTTCACAAGTGGAACCAATGTTCATTGTCAAACACTACCTGGCGTTCATTCTTACTTAACTTGCCGGAGTGAATTTAGAGATACATTTCCTGATTTTCCTGTGCCAAACAAATCAATAATATCTTATCTGGTAAACCATTTCTGTGACAGAGGAGCTCTTCACTGGGTAACATCAAACAAGAATAAAAGAGGAAATGCATGCATTGCTGAACATGGTGGACATTTCCAACACTTGATGTAACACTGTTTTTGTTTTCTGATTTCAGTGTAATTTATAATGAATTCTTATCAGGCTACCAGCCATGTAAGGTGGTTTAATGAATAAAACACGAACATTTCGAGAGCCATCGTTGTTCTCGTCCTCAGGGTATTGTATAACATTAATGTTTTCTTCATTAAACCACCTGATGTGGCTGGTAGCCCACGAAGAATTCATTACACTTAGTTGCTGTGAAAGCTTCAGATCATAAATTAATATAATTTATTTTTTAAAATAGAGCATATGAGGAATGGATTGTGTGACTTTTTGATCACCCTGCATAAATCACAGTGTTAACATAACAGGACGGCAAAAACTAGGAGCAGGAACTCTAAAAAACAATCTTCCACATTGTCATAAAACAAGTGCTGCAGTTATTATAGCAGGACTTGCACAATGTGCTGGTATGAGAAACTAAGCCTGCTAGGAGCATTAGAGTATCTGACACACAGTACTTTTTCTTAGGAAATATTTATAATATTGAAATTATTTGTGTAAATACATGGAAGAGGGAATAAGCAAGAGTGTAAACACATCCTACACGTTCCTCACTTGATCTTATTCGAATAACTTGCATCTACAGTGAAATAAGAAGCCAAAGATGTGGGACGAGGGATTGTGTTTTGGTTCAAAAACTATTTTATACAATGAATTCCATCAATTTTTTATGTATCACAGATGGCAAAATATTATACAAATTAGTGTCATAAGTATGTGTCACAGATACTGCAAACCTGGGACAGAGTACAAAACAGGTATATTTTATACTGCTGTCATTACCGGGCTCTAGGTATTCCACTAAAAAGTTCATTTAAGCCTTGCATATCAATTTACTATGTTCTGTAAAAAATGTATGATGCTTTCTGTTCCTGCTTTAAAGAGAGAGTTATGAAAATATTTTAAGACTCTGAAGAATGGCTCATATGACATTCATGATTTATTTGTAAATTCTTGTGTCACCTTAATTTTCTACCATTCTCTGGTGTAGACTCTAAAATTCTCTATATCTCTAAATGCAAGTCTTCATAATTCAGATCATAAGCATAAGAAAACACATCATATCATTGCATTATTGTATACTCTGAAGAAAATAAACCCAATACAAAAGAGGAACTGAAAATAAAACTCAAATTGTTGAGCATTGTCTGTATTTTAAAACTGCACAAAACACTACAACATTAAAACTTATAGATAAGACAAAAACAAGCAATCAATCCTCATGTATATGCAAAATGTCCTGCTTTTCCTTGTACATGATGTGTATGTGATTTGTAAAAAAGTACAATAATTATGTAGTATATAAGGAAAAATTCTAAAAGAATACGTGTAAAATATGTTCTGTATACAGATCAAATATGAAACATAAGATTGTCAAGATTACAGAAAATAAGCACCAGTAATGTGGTTAGGAGTACAGAATATAGCAACCCCCATCTCACCTCATCTCGACGATTTTTGTTTGTGAACAGTGACTTCAGACGACTTGGTGTTGAAGCTTTTCGAACACAAGCTCCATCATTGCTCTCTCTCAGTGGTGCACGAGGTGTAAGCACCTCAGTTCCCTGTAAAGTACATCATATATATTATTATTAATGTACTAAATGTCATGGTCAAGTGAACAGCACTCCTGCCTTATATTTAGGAGGTCCTTGGTTCAAATTTCAGCCCAGAGACCAACTATATTAAATGAGGGTTGTCATGGTTTTCCTCAATCCTTCCACACAAATGCAGGGGTAGCACCATAAATTAGGCCACTACCATTTCCAAATTTATTATTCACTAACCATCCATCATATGACAATGCATATAATCTTAGCACTTGAGAGCATTATTAAGTAATGCCCAAATAAATATATACATACATCAAAATAATAACTGCACCACAACTTTCTTTGTTGATTTTTTGAATATGATAATATAACAGAATATTCACTAAGCAGTATAACAGATAGAATGTTTCTAAATATATTCATATACATCCTATTGATTGAAACATACCCATCAGGAAAATTTGAAAACAGAAATGACATAACATGCTATGCTGTCTTTTTATATGCCTGCACCACAGTTAATTTATAGAATTTGTGAAAGAAAACATTTGCAGATTCATCAATATTGAATAAATAAAGCCTAATAGCATACACATGCATATAAATATTTGATAATTTGGATGCCAGGTTATGAATGCATAGGGTTTGCAGAATTCTGGGTCAAAATAAGTTTTTCTTTATTCAGAGAGGCAGAAGGCTGAGAAATAAAGATATGTAAGAACAGGTGCTTCCTAAAACATATATATCAAGGAACCTCGTGTCTGTTAAATTTCAGAATCATAAAATATGGTGTTTAATTAAAGAAAAAGTTCTGACATTAATTTATAATTCCTATTTTCATAGAAAAAAATATGAAACAATTATGTACATCATAAATAGATACTGCTGAAGTTTAAAAACTTGAGTGATTTTAAAATATGTATTCATAATCACTGCAGACATGATAAAAGAACTACTTTCATATAAGAGCAGCATTTTGTTAACAAAAACGTATGCCTTGTTGAGGCTGAGAAATTTATTACAAAGTATAGTGAAGGTCTTTTGAAGTCTTCTGCTGTAAACAAGAATCTTGATCAATAAAAGGAGTTGAACTCACACTATTTAAATGTTGAAATACAACACCATGCAAGTTGACATTATAACAAGGTGTCACTGTAATAAATAACTACATTACAATTTGCAATAATTTCAAAGATGCAACACAGGTTTCTAAATTGCTTCTGGAAATAAGTATATTAAAAACTAACTAAAGAGAAATATAGTTTTTGCATGTGTTACATTACATAATATACAAGAAAACAATCTCAAGAAGATACAGCAAACGGCAAACAGATGAGTCGGACCCTCCAAATCACTAGCAAAAGAATGGACCACAGAGAAGAAATACAAGCACTATTACACCCATGCAAAAGCTCCATCTCACCTGGAAAGACAGACGACCACCATTTTTACCAGGAGTTGGAGGACCTGGTTTCTTATATGACGTCTGAAAATGAAACTGTCTTACTTAACACAAAACACACAGGATACTTGTAATAGTACAGTAATCAGAATGAGTGGAAGCCAATTAAAACTGAGGATACCCAGCCAAACAGAACACCTTAGTGATGAACTACTGCCCAAAATTAAAGTAACAAAGATAATTACAGAATTACCCATGTCTTCTTTTGTATAAATATTACCAAATCTAAAATATAAAACAACTTAGTCATAATTTTGTCAGTAATATATTACAACAACAGATGTCCTGATGCTAATTCATGTTTCAAAGCTAGCTAATATATCTTCAGCCTTCAGTCAATATACTTATATGTCAGTTCAATAAATATAGTGAAACTTAGGACAGCAAATAAGATACAACTTTAATAACACTAAACTTTTTACTCTCAGGCAGTATAAGAAAGTTTGGAAAAGATAGCAGTAATTATTCTTACATGGAGTCTTCTTTTAATGGTTATCTTTAAAACAAAACATTTACAAACTTTTGTATCATAACATATGTATCTCATTTTGCCTAAAACATTTCTTAGTTCAATCAATATTTACTGAAATATCTTCAAAACACATTTAAGCCATATGTGCAGAGCGTCTTAAAAAGATGTACACACACAAGGTTAATATTCCATATTATAATGTGCACACAGCTTTTTGGGGCATTGTATAGAGCCGCCTGATTTGTACCAAAATCAGATTTAATTTCTTTTTGTAAAAAATCAGCATGCCAAGTTTAATCAAATTTCATTAATCAAGACCACATTTATTGCATATAGACAAATGTGAAGCTAAAAGAACGTCAAAAAATGATTTACAAAAGTGCCCCAAAAGTTTAAAATTTTGTCTCATGTAGTGTTGGAGAACAGGCTCCTGCATTCCGTAAATAATCTTTTAAATTGGTCAATCAGCACCAAAAGTCTACCCAACTATGATGCAAAATCAATCACATTAGTTACATTCTTCTTTATGTTCTGAACAGTTTGTAAACCTGTGTTATAATCTGTGGACAATTTAGAAGGAGATACCTCTTTTAAAATCACTCTTATTAATTCAAGTCTCTGGATTATGGTTACAGAATTTTTTCCGCCACTTCAAAAAAAAGTCACCACCACAGCTTGAAACAGAATTCCACTCAATGGCAATATTATTAGTGCACATAAATAAAATGTAGCTCCTGTATGACAGATGCTATAAAACTTACCTGTACACACAGGAACTTGGTCATGACATAATGGAATGTTAAATGAGGGAAAACCTCAACTGAGACAAAATCTGGGGAATGCTCCTCCTACCATAGTAAAATCTTGTTTAAATTTTAATACCTGGAAAACACTGCGCTAATAGCACCACACACAATGGTATTTTAAATGGAATGGCCAAAGACTTAAAGGACATTAAATAAGAAGAAGAAAAAAGCATATTCCTAATTCATCATGATAATTCTCCCATAGACAAGTGAGAGCTCACTGTAAAAATAATAATCCAACCTCAAACTTTGAAATAAACCATAACAAGACAAAATTAAGGAATATTTTATGGTAATAAACAAAATGTTCTTATGTTCCTAACTTCTTAAATAACATGCAAGGACTGGGAATATATATTTGTTTTCTCACATGCTGCAATGCTCACATATGTATAATACATGCAATCATTTACCTGTCCACGATCCTTCTTACGTTGTTTTTCTGAAGGCAGTAACATGCTGGTACTTAAGGCATCAAACTGATCTACATCCACAGCACAACCCAACTACAAGAACATATTTAAAATATACATAAAGTTCACAAATATATAAATTGTGAATACAAGGAGTAGAAAAATCAATAATTATATACTTGCAGATCTAAAAGAAATATTATAATGACAACTCAGGCTACATGCATTAACTTCCAGCTACGGAGTTGATAAATCAATTCCTTCATGTTGTGGAACAACAGGATCAGTCACTTTCATCACAAAAATAGTCAATGGACCCTATCTAAGCCAGTTTAGTCCAATTCACTTCTTTGTAACCCATTTCTCAAACAACTATTCCAGTATTATCCCCTCATCTACGGCTAAGTAATACTTTAATGTAAGTTACAGTTTAATCACTATGTTTTTCAGAATTAGATGAAAAGATACAATTTAATCTCTAATTTTCTCAGTTACTCCGTTCTGCTACTGCCTTCATCACGAACACATAATACGGTCATTAACATACTGAGGCATGTTGCTGTCACAAATATTCAATACTTTGATGTGCAAAATGCCCTACTGTTTTTTGCATTTTCTGAAATAAGTATTCACTTTCAATTAGTATATTTGAAACATTCCTGTAGGATCAACACAGCTATGATTAATATTCCCAGTTCTCTGTATAAAATCTAACCTCATGAAAGTTCCTCTTACTTCAAATTGTAAGTTCAAAAACTGGTTAAAAAATCTAGAAAATAAAACAATTAAGAAGATTTCTGTCTTCTGGGTTGTTGGGCTGTGTAGTCTGGTCGATCTTTATGTGGTAGAAATCTTCATACTCACCGCTGTGAAAACCTCAAATATTACAAAACAATTAAGGTTTAAAAAATACAGAAATTACTAAAGTAAAAAAAGTCACTTAAAATTCTTTCTCAGCAGTGTCCCTCCAATCCCTTGCCTTCAAAAAGTACTAAGACATCATATCTGTTCATTTATAACACACCTTAAGATCTTCATCCCTGTATTCTCGTGGATCATGAAACTGAGTCTCTGCTGGATAAGATGATTTCAGATGTGGAAGACACAAGGAGTTACGGTACTGTAATTCATTAACACGGCCCGTGTAGCCTTGAGGTACACAATGCCCCATTTTCAGATCGGCCAAATTTGTGGTGTTGAAGACTTCACCTTCTTCATCTTCAGGGTTAAACATAGCACCTATAAATTAAAGCAAAATATCTGTGAGCCTCAGCTACATCATAGTAAGAGGGGAAAGATGGAACTGGGAAGAGGCAGAAAGACGCCTTGCACACACACCGTGTACATCAGCTGGCTGGCCAGCAATGTGCGTATTTGTAATGGTCAACAAAGCTCAGAGTTATCTTGCAACAAGTATACAATCACTGAGATTTATAAATATTCATTCTACATATTTCTAATGCCTAACAGCAACACAATTCTGATTTTTAAAAGTGAAAGGCTTGTAAATCACCTAAGTATTTAAGACAAAATTAACCAAGCAGAGTGGTGGCAGCTGCCAGGTCTGCTGCATGTAGGTAAATGGTATTTTGATGTGATGGCAGAACTATAAAGAGTATGGGCTTTCTACTGTGCACCAATTTCTTTTTACAATTTCAGCAAGACACTGCTCTACTTAGACTTCATAATGCCATGCTAGCAAAATTATTTTTGTACTACATACATACCCATGCCTGAGGGCAGTGTTCTAGGTACACTCTTTTTTCTTCTAACAAGTGTAATAGACTCATCTATTATATCCATTGCATGGAACTCTGTTGAAGAACCAGCAACAACTTTTCTTCCTCTTTCTAAACTGCTGTAACAAAATTCACATTTAGTTGGTACATTCATGTGCCATACAATGACTGTAATACTAAATTTAATAAGCTACAACATTCATGGAGACAATCAGGAACAGTTGTTTACCTTGATGTTGCACACCTTTCTAGGAAATCACCCTGTAACAAGAAAGAACTATACATCAATATTCAACCAACTGCTGACAGCCCAAACAAAACAGGAAATATATTTGCTTCAACAGTAGCACAAAGAAAAGTGAAAATGCGAAAATAAGAATGACTGCAATTAAGGGGAACAAGCAGGATAAATCTACTAATTCATATGCAATGTGAATGGGGCAGGCATCTTAGTATAATTCATAACTGGATTCACAAAGCATGAAGCGCTTATGTTCTTGTTATGTGTTTTAGACAGGGAGGAGCTAAAATATAAATATTTCATGTTTTCATACTACAGGAGATAAATTCAGTTGTTATCAAAATGGTGTGAACTTGTACATATTCCTTTTTGGGGTAGTATTCATTGAAGGGTAGGATAGGAAATGATCATACTTCAAAGTTAATTATGGCAATTGTTCTATAAAGTTTTCATTGAGATTTATAGCCATGTCAGATTAGTAATTGCTATACCCGACTAATATAATTTATGTATAAGAAATTATACTCATCTCTTATTTTCTACCAAAATATAACTTAAATTTTTATAACCTGTCTTCTAATAGACTGTAAAAATATTTGCTGTTTTGATAGTTCCTCTTCAAGTTTCTTCTTTTCTTTCTCTGCCACCAACAATTTGTCTCCAATTTCCCAAACTTGTGACTTGAGGATGCCTACATCACTTTCATAACTCCGAACCTGAAATAAATTAAAACGAACTCACAGTGAGAAACAAACACATCACATCTCTGCTGCCATCATAACTACCAAAATGAGAGGGTGGGTGGAGGAGGAGAAAAAGAGGAGGAACATAATTAGCCAAAATGTTTTCAACTTCAAAGTGTCCCGCAAAACAAGCTATCAAAGGAATGAAATTAATTCTTTTAATTAACCTGAAAGTGTGGATGCAGATCTATACAGCTCACATAGCACTATTGGTGGTGGTGGGGGGGGAAGCAATTCCTTCAGATTCCTATGTGAAAATATCTTGGAAATCAACTGGAAACACCAAAAAGGTGATGGGGAGATAATACAGACACATATAGTAGGAGAGTGACTTTTGACAGTTTGGGCCAGACTTACAAGGTTTTAAGGATCTTGTCCAAAATCAGGTTTTGACAAGAAACTTCAGAGACTAGGAAACACATGACAAAAGATGTCTTCTGGGATGTAGCACTAGTTAGTATCTACCAGACTAAGTGCTGCTACGTCCCAAAATATGCCAGTCTTCATACTTGCTGCAGTCATAACCTAAAATCTCACATACATGACTAAATTTTGATAAGTGAATAAGGCTAAAGATGATACCAATGGTATAATCACAACAGTACAGACAACCTACCAGAAAGTCAAAGCGTTAACTAAAATGGTGAACTGAAAGCTGAAGTGTATATATTAGTGCTGAGGGACGTGTATACCAATATGACGATTATAAACACAATTTAAAATAAATTTGCATTACCTTATCTTTGTAGATTTTACACATTGCCTGAAAATGATCACTTTCTTCCTTTGACTTTTTCATTTTCTTTCCAATTTCCTCTTCATAAAGAACTCTCTATAGAAATAAAAATATAATTATATTAAAAAACAGCACTAAATTCCATACTGTACCATATACACAACTAAAATACAGAAGTACAATCCAAAACTTAGGTACCAAAATCAAAGACAATTCAAAAAGAAAATAAATCTTTGAGCTCTACAAGAACACTGGTAACTATCCCATTTACATACATCCCCAAGTACTTGTATGCACTCCTAATTTCCTTTAAAACATAATAATAATGTGATGGAATATACATACCTGACATGAAAACAGAAACTACTGCAGATGCAAAGCATCAATGTATTTTAAACCTGAGTCAACCATATGAAGAAACTTTATCCTTTCTCATTCATGAGACAAAGGGAACAAATATGGGGATATATGTTGACATTAGTCTTCTGGGTCATAACACAGTGTGGACTTGTAGTAAATATATATATTTTGAAGAAACATATCACCACCATTTTCAGGGCACTACAACCCAGAAGACCAACATCCCCATCTTCACAACCACAAAAACATAAAATCTCACGAGTCAATATATAATCCCAATACACTCAAATTTTCTCTGAAGTATGCCACCAAGAATAATCTAATAAGCAAGACAGATTCAAACAAAGTAATTAGTTTGTTGTGAGCATTGTCAATAATTATACAACAGAAATATCACCAAAATAGACATTCAATAAGTCCAGTCATTCAATTCTTCTACAGTATGGACCAAAATTGAAATGTCTAAATTATTTAAGAACTATAAGCATTAAATCCATGAACAATTTTCACTCAGACATGAGTTTGTTTTCTGAATGTAAATTAAGATTGAAAAATAAAATATGGACTGTTTGCATTTTCCTACTCAATATTTTGTATAGGAAAACCATGATAAAATAAAAATAAACTTATGTAAGAATGGACAGTATGGGGCCAGAGGTAACAAACTTCCATCAGTGTCACAATGAATACCCAATCCCCCCTTTCAACTTCAGCAATTCCAATACTAACCATTTTGGCTTTTAGTCTATCAAGCTTCTTTTCATACTCCTGTCGAATGGCTTTAATGTTTTCTTCTACTTTACTTTTCAGGTCCTCATTCTCCGACTGCAGCTTGTAATTGACTTCCAGCAACGTTTCATATGCTTGTTTGATCTCATAAGTTTTCTGAGATTCTAATTCCAGCTGCAAGCACTTTTCTTCCTCAGCAGATTTCAATTTACAAACAATCCCCTTATCAACAGAAATAGCTTCATGTAAATTGTAATTAGTAACTCAACATCTTACTGTGCATAACCTTCATTCAGGTGATAATTGACTTAATATTAATGAATTAATGTAATATTATTACAGTTGCACTGACAGACATAAATGTAATTCTACCTAAATGAAGGTTACGCACAGCAGGACGCCGTGAAATAAAAACACAAACAACTTCAGAACTACAACAGAAAATTAGCCAATGAGATGGGATAAAGAGACCACCAGTAGTGCACTAGAAATTTTTAAAGCAGAATTGCTTGATGTGACTTAAAGATAGAATGCAAATGTTACATGAAAATAACCAGAATATAATACAGCATTTACAGATCTTTAATATAATTTATACTTCTTAGCAAGTGAAACTGAAGCAATCAAACAAGAGAAAATAGCTCCATAAAATGAACTGCATTATAAACAAATTAATTGGCTGATATTAAGAGAAGTTATGAAACTTTGTTAGAAGGGGTAAAACAAATTGAAGCTACAAATAAAAAACAAATTTACACAGTTCAAGATCTCACTGGAAAGTGTTGAAAATCTGGCAAAATAGTTACTGAAGAGTTTAACACTGGAAGATCTAAACTCTGAAAAGAAGACTACCGTAAAGAACTGTTATCTAAACAGCTTTCCAAAAAGCACAATAATTTGATTTCTGAAACTTGTACAATGTGGTCAAAATTTTAGAATAAAGTAATTTACTGCAGAATACTGTACACTATTTCACAAATGATATAATGACTTCTTAATCTAATAAAGACAAACATATCCAGGAAACTTTAGAAAATGATAGACAGAAACTTTCTGTAAAAATCAAACTATATAAATGAGAATTGCTAGTTTAGAAAATTAAATGTCTTGTATCAGTAACGATCTCTGAGCTGCTGGATATGATCCGCTTTTACAAAAAAAAAAAGCAGAAAATACATAATTACTGCTCACAACATGGAAACAGAAAGAAGAGACTAATTCAGTTAATAAATCAGTATGTTTCAAGATAAAATTAATTCTCTTTAAGATGAAAGAAATGATTTATGTACTCGACTCCACCTATCAGGTTTCTAAACTAAAAACATGCAAAGATCATCTGTCACAATTTTGGCAATAACCTTTTTCTCTTCTTCTAGTTTTGCAACTGTCATTTCTAAGTTTCTCACATGCTGGGTGAGTAACTCAATTTTTTCCCCCTTCTCTTGATTTTCAGTTTCATACTGCAGTTTCAAAATGTCCTTGTTCTTGTTCATTTCGGCAAGATATTCTTTCTGGCATTCAAGTTGTTCATCTGTCAAAGCAACTCTTTTTTCTAATTCATCAATTCTGTCTCTCAACACACCCACACGACCATTCAATATCTGAATGGATTCCACATTTTCCTGCATTGCATTACTGTAAGTGTGTTCCAAATTCTCTTTACTTGCTTGTAATTCTTGCAGTTTACAATTGATATTCTGCAGGTTATTGTTAGAGGAGTCTCTTTCCTGTGCCAGCTCCTGAATTTGTTTCTCAAGTTCAGCAATCTTGCAATTTAACATGTTCACAGTTTTAGTTTGTTCCCCAGAAAATTCTTTAATTTTGTTATATTGATCTTGCAATAGAATTTTATCACGTGTAACTTCTGTCAATTCAGCTTCAAATCTCTGTAGCTTCCCTGCCTTTTCTTCAATTAGTTTTTCAATATTTTTATTTCTATCAGAAAGATTCTGTCTAACTCCCTCAAGGTTTTCAATCTCAGATTTTTTATCTTCCAACACAGAGTTCAGATTCTCAATCTTATGAGTATATTCTGACACTTTTGTTTCTAAATTCTCTTTACTTGCTTGTAATTCTTGCAGTTTACAATTGATATTCTGCAGGTTATTGTTAGAGGAGTCTCTTTCCTGTGCCAGCTCCTGAATTTGTTTCTCAAGTTCAGCAATCTTGCAATTTAACATGTTCACAGTTTTAGTTTGTTCCTCAGAAAATTCTTTAATTTTGTTATATTGATCTTGCAATAGATTTTTATCATTTGTAACTTCTGTCAATTCAGCTTCAAATCTCTGTAGCTTCCCTGCCTTTTCTTCACTTAGTTTTTCAAGATTTTTATTTCTGTCAGAGAGATTCTGTCTAACTCCCTCAAGGTTTTCAATCTCAGACTTTTTATCTTCCAACATAGAGTTCAGATTCTCAATCTTATGAGTATATTCTGACACTTTTGTTTCTAAATTCTCTTTACTTGCTTGTAATTCTTGCAGTTTACAATTGATATTCTGCAGGTTATTGTTAGAGGAGTCTCTTTCCTGTGCCAGCTCCTGAATTTGTTTCTCAAGTTCAGCAATCTTGCAATTTAACAAGTTCACAGTTTTAGTTTGTTCCTCAGAAAATCCTTTAATTTTGTTATATTGATCTTGCAATAGAATTTTATCACGTGTAACTTCTGTCAATTCAGCTTCAAATCTCTGTAGCTTCTCTGCCTTTTCTTCACTTAGTTTTTCAAGATTTTTATTTCTATCAGAGAGATTCTGTCTAACTCCCTCAAGGTTTTCAATCTCAGACTTTTTATCTTCCAACACAGAGTTCAGATTCTCAATCTTATGAGTATATTCTGACACTTTTGTTTCTAAATTCTCTTTACTTGCTTGTAATTCTTGCAGTTTACAATTGATATTCTGCAGGTTATTGTTAGAGGAGTCTCCTTCCTGTGCCAGCTCCTGAATTTGTTTCTCAAGTTCAGCAATCTTGCAATTTAACATGTTCACAGTTTTAGTTTGTTCCTCAGAAAATCCTTTAATTTTGTTATATTGATCTTGCAATAGAATTTTATCACGTGTAACTTCTGTCAATTCAGCTTCAAATCTCTGTAGCTTCTCTGCCTTTTCTTCACTTAGTTTTTCAAGATTTTTATTTCTGTCAGAGAGATTCTGTCTAACTCCCTCAAGGTTTTCAATCTCAGACTTTTTATCTTCCAACACAGAGTTCAGATTCTCAATCTTATGAGTATATTCTGACACTTTTGTTTCTAAATTCTCTTTACTTGCTTGTAATTCTTGCAGTTTACAATTGATATTCTGCAGGTTATTGTTAGAGGAGTCTCTTTCCTGTGCCAGCTCCTGAATTTGTTTCTCAAGTTCAGCAATCTTGCAATTTAACAAGTTCAGAGTTTTAGTTTGTTCCTCAGAAAATCCTTTAATTTTGTTATATTGATCTTGCAATAGAATTTTATCATGTGTAACTTCTGTCAATTCAGCTTCAAATCTCTGTAGCTTCTCTGCCTTTTCTTCACTTAGTTTTTCAAGATTTTTATTTCTGTCAGAGAGATTCTGTCTAACTCCCTCAAGGTTTTCAATCTCAGACTTTTTATCTTCCAACACAGAGTTCAGATTCTCAATCTTATGAGTATATTCTGACACTTTTGTTTCTAAATTCTCTTTACTTGCTTGTAATTCTTGCAGTTTACAATTGATATTCTGCAGGTTATTGTTAGAGGAGTCTCTTTCCTGTGCCAGCTCCTGAATTTGTTTCTCAAGTTCAGCAATCTTGCAATTTAACATGTTCACAGTTTTAGTTTGTTCCCCAGAAAATTCTTTAATTTTGTTATATTGATCTTGCAATAGATTTTTATCATTTGTAACTTCTGTCAATTCAGCTTCAAATCTCTGTAGCTTCCCTGCCTTTTCTTCAATTAGTTTTTCAATATTTTTATTTCTATCAGAAAGATTCTGTCTAACTCCCTCAAGGTTTTCAATCTCAGATTTTTTATCTTCCAACACAGAGTTCAGATTCTCAATCTTATGAGTATATTCTGACACTTTTGTTTCTAAATTCTCTTTACTTGCTTGTAATTCTTGCAGTTTACAATTGATATTCTGCAGGTTATTGTTAGAGGAGTCTCTTTCCTGTGCCAGCTCCTGAATTTGTTTCTCAAGTTCAGCAATCTTGCAATTTAACATGTTCACAGTTTTAGTTTGTTCCTCAGAAAATCCTTTAATTTTGTTATATTGATCTTGCAATAGAATTTTATCACGTGTAACTTCTGTCAATTCAGCTTCAAATCTCTGTAGCTTCTCTGCCTTTTCTTCACTTAGTTTTTCAAGATTTTTATTTCTGTCAGAGAGATTCTGTCTAACTCCCTCAAGGTTTTCAATCTCAGACTTTTTATCTTCCAACACAGAGTTCAGATTCTCAATCTTATGAGTATATTCTGACACTTTTGTTTCTAAATTCTCTTTACTTGCTTGTAATTCTTGCAGTTTACAATTGATATTCTGCAGGTTATTGTTAGAGGAGTCTCCTTCCTGTGCCAGCTCCTGAATTTGTTTCTCAAGTTCAGCAATCTTGCAATTTAACATGTTCACAGTTTTAGTTTGTTCCTCAGAAAATCCTTTAATTTTGTTATATTGATCTTGCAATAGAATTTTATCACGTGTAACTTCTGTCAATTCAGCTTCAAATCTCTGTAGCTTCTCTGCCTTTTCTTCACTTAGTTTTTCAAGATTTTTATTTCTGTCAGAGAGATTCTGTCTAACTCCCTCAAGGTTTTCAATCTCAGACTTTTTATCTTCCAACACAGAGTTCAGATTCTCAATCTTATGAGTATATTCTGACACTTTTGTTTCTAAATTCTCTTTACTTGCTTGTAATTCTTGCAGTTTACAATTGATATTCTGCAGGTTATTGTTAGAGGAGTCTCTTTCCTGTGCCAGCTCCTGAATTTGTTTCTCAAGTTCAGCAATCTTGCAATTTAACAAGTTCAGAGTTTTAGTTTGTTCCTCAGAAAATCCTTTAATTTTGTTATATTGATCTTGCAATAGAATTTTATCACGTGTAACTTCTGTCAATTCAGCTTCAAATCTCTGTAGCTTCTCTGCCTTTTCTTCACTTAGTTTTTCAAGATTTTTATTTCTGTCAGAGAGATTCTGTCTAACTCCCTCAAGGTTTTCAATCTCAGACTTTTTATCTTCCAACACAGAGTTCAGATTCTCAATCTTATGAGTATATTCTGACACTTTTGTTTCTAAATTCTCTTTACTTGCTTGTAATTCTTGCAGTTTACAATTGATATTCTGCAGGTTATTGTTAGAGGAGTCTCTTTCCTGTGCCAGCTCCTGAATTTGTTTCTCAAGTTCAGCAATCTTGCAATTTAACATGTTCACAGTTTTAGTTTGTTCCTCAGAAAATCCTTTAATTTTGTTATATTGATCTTGCAATAGAATTTTATCACGTGTAACTTCTGTCAATTCAGCTTCAAATCTCTGTAGCTTCTCTGCCTTTTCTTCACTTAGTTTTTCAAGATTTTTATTTCTGTCAGAGAGATTCTGTCTAACTCCCTCAAGGTTTTCAATCTCAGACTTTTTATCTTCCAACATAGAGTTCAGATTCTCAACCTTATGAGTATATTCTGACACTTTTGTTTCTAAATTTAAAATATTCTCATCAGCACGTTGCAGACATTCATCCAGAATGCTCTTTTGTAGAAGGTGTTTCTGTTCCCTCTCTTCTTGATCAGTAATTTCTTCACAAAGTTTTATAATAGTCTCCTTTAATTTTTTACAATCTAACTCCAAATTAGATTGCTCATGAAGTGACTTAGAATTCTTAGCATCCAGTTCTATCAGCAAGAAATTCAGTCTTTCAACTTTAACTCCCACACTAAGACACAAAGCTGCTAAAGATCCTTCTGTTCCATCTGGTAATGACTGTTCAGCATCTCCTGGAGTATCTTTACCAGACAATAGCATTTCTTCAACCAGTTTTACATATTGCCCCAGCTGTTGCTCTATACAACCCAGATTCTGCTTTACTTCTGTATTTTCCATTTTTATGTCTGCAAGTTCTTGAGATGTACATTTCAGTTGTTTCTGTGTTTCATGGGCTTCAAGGTTTAACTTGGCAACATGTTCTACTTCTGCAGCTAAAATATTCTGAGTTTCCAGAAAATTGTCCTGTAGCTTGGCAAGATCTGAAGTAAGTGATTCAGCTACATTATGAGAATCTGAAAGCTCATTATCTTTGCAAGCAAGGAGGTCCTGTAGGCCAGCAAGTCCTTTTTCAAGCAGAATCCGCTCTTGGGAAATGTGATCAAGCTCTACAGATGCAGAATTCAGTTTCCTTTCAGATTCTTCAAGTTCATGTTGTAATGCTTCCATTTTATTGACCTGAAAAACAAAATTCCATTATTTTAAATTATTTTAAGCCTTATGTTTTCTAAGCATTTACAAGCCTCAGAATTTCAAGTAACACATACCATACACTCTTCCAACTTCACATCATACAGTATGAGTGAGAAAGTATAAAAGAAATAAAAAATTCTAGTCATGAATATTTTTTACAATTGTCAGTGTTAATAAAGATGCAAACCTTTCTTACCAGTTCTATGTTTGATGTCTTTAGAGACCCTACTTCATGATTTGCGGCTTCCAAATGAAGTTCAAGTTCACTTTTGTGCCTTGTCATTTCTTCTTCCTCCATGATCATTCTCTTGAGTTGTTCTGATAATACTTGATTCTCCACTTCTTTTTCATGCAGTTGCAGTTCTACTACTGCCTCACCTAGACTTTCTGGGGTCCTGCACACTGGAATTAAATAATACCAACAATGACAATACCAACAACTACACCAATAACAATAAATCTGATGCTAATTCAGTTTTTATATTAAAGTGTTTGCCTACAGCTAAGATCCTATGATTGAAAAGCACTAATAAATATGTATAAAAAATAGAGAAAGTAACATGAATAGTTAAACTGGCATATTCATAAGTTTCACATTTGCACATTCAGTGTTTCTGGTCCTAATCACAACTCTACAAATTACATTAATAAACATGTGGGTCATACAGAATAACGTGCATGAAGTGAAAATGCAATATTGAAAAAATATATGTAAAGTTACAAATTGTTTATTGAAAACTATAATTCTGCTGAAATGAAGATGGATATGTGTTAACTGTAACATGTTTCTATTCTGCTACACACACATTTTCTGTAATACTGCACTTTGTCAAGATATTACTGTATTTCTGTGCATAAACCTGACACTGAATGCCAAATGCTTCACAAGGCTGAAATTTAACAAAGTAACTAGAGGAAGAAATTATGTAACTGATATAAAAGATACAGGAAATTTTTAAATTTTATTTCCAGAAAGAACACACCAAACCACATAAAACAGTAACCTGGATTTATAAAGTTGTCTTCTTCTATACTAGCATCACAAACTTGCTTTAATTCTTGTACATGACTTTGTAGATCAGAACACAGTTCCTTCACTTGAGCCAACTCAAGTTCTTTCTCTACAAGATCATGCTGCAGCTTCTCACACTGTGCTTCATATTCTTGTGATCTTGTGTGCCACACATTACACTGGTGTTCTGCTTTAAATAACTGTAACAAATAAATGGGACTGTAATGATTGACAATTATGGCATATGAGAACAGGTAAAGTAAACTGTAAAGTTACCCAAAGAATTTAGAAATGGCAACTCCTCTCTACAGTGTAAATTCAATATTTCAGCTTCTTACCCTTTGTTGTAATAAATCCCGTTCTTTGTGCAAATTGTCCATGTCAGCATCAACAGAGGAGACATATGCCTCCAAACTTTTTATCTCATTACTTAGTAATGCTTCTTGGCAAGATTTAACACATTCAGATGTTTCACCTGATTCAGAAGTGTTGTATAACCATTCTTCACGGAGCTTCTTAATCTCTTCATTTTTATCAATTAACTCTTTGGCTGTAAAGTATAAATATTACGTTTTAAAAAGTATAAAAATAAAAAACATCCGCTTTAAAATACATACAGAAAAAATTCCAGAATAACAAAAATTAAAACTTATTTGCAAGATCAAATAATCTGACAGTTTATTATTTTCTTAATTAAAAGAAAATAATAAACTAAATTAAACAACAAATAAATAAACACTGTTTTAAAGCCAAAAATACAAGTTCACCTGTTTCAGAGCATACAAACATGCTTTTAGTTTGTGGACGTTCTCTGACCCAGACCATACACAGTAAAATTATGGGACCATAAGTTGTATAAGTTGTCTGCTACTAATTCTAAGAACTTACTCAATTTCTTTGTTTTTTCACGTTGTTGGCGCAGCTCTTCTTGCAGCTCACCTTTCTCCATCTGTTCAACCTCCAATTCATTATTTAATCTCTTTATCACTGCTCTTTGTTCTGAGAGTTGCTTAAGTTTCTGAGCTAAAGGGGACTGATAAAAAAATCAAATTTATATTATGCACTTGCAAACTTAATTTGGAACATTACATATATAACCAGCCAATTTGAAGCAAAAATAAGTTGTATTATATTTTAAGCTTCCACTTCACAATAATTACACACTGAAATATTGTCCTATTCTCCAAAATATATGAAAATAGCTGAGTTTTTAATATAGCCTGAAGTAAAATATAGATTTCACATATACCTTAAATACATAACATGTAAGGAGTGAAAGACAATCAAATCAGAACAGCTGACCTTCAGGACAAGAATCAAGTCTGGGACCTCTCAAATGAAAAGCAGGAGCACTACCCCAACTAACTAACTAATGATTCTCAATTGGCGAGTCATGAGATTTTGTCAAGTGTGCCATGAGGTTTTGAATAGAATAATTGTATAAATTAAAATATGCAAATTAAAAATCAAATAATTGATAATATCACATTATTATCCATAAATGAGTATATCTGAGTAACCAGTTAAACTTCATAATCTTAGTTCTACAATAATTTTATATTTTTATACAATAAATGTCATTACTTAAAAATTGATGAATTCTTATTATAAATTTTAATTCTCTATCCCAATTCTAGTGTGGCACAAAATAAAACTCCCAAGTGTGCCACAAGCACCGTAAGTTTGAGAACCACTGTATTAACCATTTAATCATTTAAGGTCCAAATACAGTTTCAGCAACAAATACCAGAACATGAAATATAACAATCATCATGTGATACTGAAAAAGGGATAATTTGAACTCATGTAATTTGTCATACCTTTTGGTACCCTGTGTTTTGACTTAAAGAGAATATTTACTGGACTACTACTAACAATGCTCACTGTCACCTTCAACATATAAAAAACAGTTGAATGTATGATATTTCCAATAAACCCCGTCATTAAAACAGTAAAGAAAATATAAATATAAGGTAGGAGGGTCATACCTCAACAACATCCTTCATGGGAGGACGTTTAGGTGTACTAAAGCCAATAAGTGGAGATTCTGAACAATGACGTCCTTTCTCTGCTGCCACTGGAGATTCATTATTACCTAGTTTGACAATATGACCAAAAATGGAAACACAAATAAATAATTCTGTGATTATGAAATAACAAAATAAAATTAAAATACACGTTTGAATAAGATACGTCTGTTACATTCATATGCAATTGATTATAATTATAGATTATCTGTAATAAAAAAACTAGTAAAATGGTAAGAAGGACCGAAGATGAAGATGGCTGTCTTCTGGGTTTTAGCACCTTATAGTATGACAGAAGTTTAGCAGAATTTAAGGTATTTGCTGCCTCCATCATAAATGAAAGTGCTAATGGAGGCAGCAAGTACCTCTGAAATGTGGGTAAACTTATACCAGATAACACAGTGTTACAACCCAGTAGACAACCATATTTATACTTACTGCTGTGAGAATTTGAAATCCTACTAAGGAGAGAGTATTCTGTTATGATAAAAGAAGACATGTTCACATACGTGGAGCAATTTTATACTGTATATATACTAGAATGTACTTTGTCTGCTTCATACTACATCATTTCAAATTACTGTGCATAATCAACCTCTCATCCCATTTGATGTTGTGTAATCTGTTATCTGAAAATGCATTATTAATACTAGAGGTGCCAGTATAAATTCCTTAGAAAATACAATTCAAAATACCAAATGGCAAAAAACAATCATTTTAGGTGCCAAAATTTGTCAGTTAACACTCCTGGAGGGGCATAGCAATTATTCAAATCCACAATTTTCTGAGGAAAAATTAAATGGTGGTTTCTTCATATTACCAACTATCATCATCACCTAAAATTAAGAAGTAGCTCTTAGTATTGAACTACAGCTGTAACGGACCACTCATCACAAAATAATTTACCATATTTATTGACAGCATGCTTCAGAGCAGTTCTTGTTATATTTCCATCATACTGCAAGATGATTTCAAAGAAGTTCTTAATATAAATTTGTGTTTCATGATCCAGGTTATACATATGGTCCATTATTCTTTCATTTCCACTCTTTAGAACGCTGTGCAACAGCAATAAAGATGTAATATAGGTAATCTCAACTTCATCATCCATGTCACAAGATTCTGCATCCATGCAATAATTTGGATATTCATCTGTGAAAGAAAGGACAACATACTTTAATATTATATTCTATTATTACCAACAGCTTTTGATACTTATTTTCTTATTTCATGGTGACTGTAAAAACTGTAACCTGAGATTCAAACACAAACTGAATTACAGTATGATAGTACAGCAAACAAATTACTTTATTACATTTACACACCACAAATGTGAGACAAATGACTTCCAGTGGACTATGGTATCTTCATGGAACCAAATAATGCTTACTGCAGACATAAAATCTCTAAACATAGTAACAATGTTTATCGTGACATGAACCCTGCTACTGCCAAGTTACATGCTATGAAATAATGATCAGGTTGTTAAATAAGAAATAAGTAGCACATGAGAAATCTGTGTCCAAGATAAAGGGAAGAAACATTTTTGTAGGTGTTTTAGAGAAACAGTGGCAACCACCTACAAGAATGTTAGAAATCTCAATAAGCTACCAACAAATCAAATCACAGAAAATATAATAAGCAGTGGAAGAAGTCTACTCATCCTAAAGACAGTGAATTTAATATTTACTCTGTTAATATGTATAATGTCAAAAATACTTCTGATTTCAATGTCATGCTGTTTTTACTTATAATGCTTTCCATGTAATACAGTCCTCAGCTTATGAAAACTACAAAAAGGACCAATGCCTAGTCCCATTTTAACAGTTACTTACATTTTAAAAAGGAGGTTACTTCCTCATTAACATTATCTCCGCTGATACTATGTTTAGTCCTATGGGAACTGTAAAACAAACAGTGAATAACAAATTATATACAAATTCAATTGTAATATTAAACAAAAAACAATGTTTAAGTTTTCATAACACTAAACTGCATGACTAAAGGGAGACACTAACTGTTTAAATTTCATGGATAAAATCCAGAACATGTAGAAAAAAAGATGGAAAAATAATATTGAAGAAATAAGGTTGTGAAGATGTACACAACAGACTGAACTGTCCCTCGGTCAGGTATAATAGTGAGCTTGTATAATGGCAGTGATCAACTTTTAAGTTTCACAACAGCACAGGACTCACTGAACAACTGATTAATCACTATTTTCACACATAACTTCCACAAGGGAGTTACTGTGCTTGCTTTAATACAAATGCACACTTCAGATTTTTCTAAGTACCTCCAAAAATATTTGATTGTGCATTGTATTCACATACATTCAATTCTGATAGGAACTGAAAAGTAAAATACCCAAACACAACTAAACATAACCAAATAAAATGTGCTGTCATCTTTTTGGAAGGTACTTTCACAGAAAAGTGGGAATTATATACATACATCTTTATTAAATTTGATGTATCCACAAGTTAATCAGATAACAATAGGTTGTAGAATATGTGGGAAAAACTGGTAGTTTACTTAGGAAAATGATATAAGTTTACTTACATGGCATTCAAAAGATTGTAGAAAAATCTTCCATCACTTAACTCTGTAACTTGCTGAATCGGATTGTCCTGCAGGGCTAAGCAATTGGCCTGTATAAAAGAAAGAGAACAAACTGATCTACTGAATAACATATAAAGCTACAGGGAAATCTTTGTAAGATGGTGAAAAGATATTGGACTCCCAGAGGACATACATGTGTGGTCTGTTTGATGCAGTGATAGGGAGTAAATAGATGCATGTTCGTCGACATATTTTATCTATCAGTTTAAAACAACACAGGCAATCAGATTAGCTGTATGCATTTCATGGATTCCAGATCAAGACTTGGAACAAATTTGTCAAGAAAAACAAAACACAATAACAAAAGCAATACATAATACTTATTTCATGCTAGACCAACTATACAAAGTAATCAGTTGAGTCACTAGGAGAAAAATCTAATCTCAATCCTACTAATCGCCTTTTCTAGTGGACCCAACTGATATGGTTGTAAAATTTTTATTGTTCCAGACTTAAGATACCTGTTTCTCACCTGAGATCTTTGCATTGCTGAACATCAAGACTTTAGGCTCCTTCAGATACTTTATTCAAAAACTTGAAAAACAAGGCTAATTAGGAGGAATGCAATGTCAGGATCACAAGCAGCTATACATGTTTTCTCTACATGTTTTGTACCTGTGACTTCTTGTGGGTGTATCTTGTTACTCTAACTAATTGTCATTATGGAATTATACACAAATCTTTTTACACCCATATTCCAGTATCGGTTAGCTTTGCTACAACACATAATGAATGACAATGAATTTTAGGTATAGGAAATTATAACTTACCCATTGCACCAAAACGTTTTGCCATGTATGAAAACTGTCACACATTGCTGCTATATAATTGTAATCTGTACCCGTAACCACATTTAAAAAGCCTTTCGGAATGTTTCAATTCAAACTGAAACTACTGCTTCAAACATTGTACTAAATTTAAAACAACAACTTGTTCCCCGATTGGCCAAGAATGTACATCCTGTCAGAGCGCTGTTAGAAATGTAGAGACGTGCAAGTATATTCGTCTTCACTGTACTCAATCAATGATCGTATTATATTTTTGTTCTTTCTTTGGAGATTGTAGGAGGAAAAAGGCGATATATACAATCTACATCAAAACAAATACACACAATTAATTTCTGGGGTTACGAAATTCCCTGCCCTGCAGATTTTGTGATGCACTACATACATTAGTATCCATTCCATGGATCCAAAAGTCAGACGAACTGTATGGTTCACAGAATCCGTCTTGAAGACTGTGTCGCCGTGCATATTCTACTTCCGTCCATTTTCTTTTCGTTATTGAAAGTAATAAGGTTTATTTCTGGTAGGAGCGTCCACATCAATTGTGACAAAACCTTATTAACCCTTTTTATCTTTAATTCTTAATTTCATGAAGATGGTCCCCTGTGTAGTTAATTTACTGCCTGAGTAGCCTGTGATATCGCCTGTAATCCGTGATTACCGTTTAATTGTTACTTGGTAGACGTTCTGGGCATACTTAAAAATAAAAGACATTCTATAATTCTATGTAGGATTTCATATTCTCACGACGATGATTATAGATGGTTGTCATCTGGGTCGTAGCACCGCGTCGTCTGGCATAAGTTTACCGACGGCTGAGAGGTACTTGCAGTTTCCATCATCAAGTTGATGAAAATCTTATTCATTACCCTAATGATGGAGGAAATAAGTACATCTGAAACACTTCTAACCTTCTATCAGACTACACATTACATCACCTTGAAGCTAATTCTATTCTAGGTTGGTGATCCATGCATACAAGGCATTTCCAAAGTCATGCATTCATTAAATTTGCTATGCATGTCTTTTGTTGCACTATTAAAAAACTAATAGTCCAGTAACACTCCTACATTTACATCAGGTTCAAATCAAATTTTATTGATGTTCTCAAAAAAATAAAATTCGTGCATACAAATCATTGAGATCTACAGCTATCAGTGGAGCAATTTTCTAACATGGTGAATGTTTAACAATGTAAGGAAAAATAATGTAAAACTCTATAATGTAATGACAAATAATGTGATCAGCTTTGTAACAGTAGGTTCATATCTGCAAAAATCGAACAAGATGAATGACATATGCAAATTAATAATAAAAAATTTAAATGGAACTCACTGGAGTTAACCTTTTCATCCTTGTTTTAATATGTACTCTAGAAAGTTTAATACATTATGCACTATACATAGCATGTCCCTATTTAAAGTAAATTTGTTTAATTAATACATAAGTTGGTCATTAATTTTACATAGAGTATATAATGAGATTCAGGAAGAAGGAAAATTGTGTTGGTTAATAAGATACTCTTAGGACTTAGTCTACATTTATGTAGCCCTAGATGAAAGTTCTAATGAACACAATTCAACAAACTTCTTTATAAAACTACAACAAATTTATACTTTACCTTTTATAACAACATTATACTTAATAAAATCAAATGCTGCATAAATCAGTTTCTAGTTGTTTGCATTAACAAGAGTTCCATTTACTCTGCTATGTATTTTTTGACATATGCAGCAGAACGTACAATATAGTATCCTGAATAAACAAGTTATTTTATACAAAATCACAGCCTTTTTAAATTATGTCATAGTCTTCTCCTCTCTTCCTTGAAAGGTAAATACAAATTAATAGATTAATTTTCAGTATTCATAGAATTGGCAGGATGTGACACATCCTCCAATGATACTGCATCATCACAACTAGGATCATCACTGAGAGCTTCGTATTTATCCCTTTGGATGCTTTCAGGCACGCATTCCCCAGAACCACTGCTATTATCCTCAGCTACAGCTACACCTTTCTCAAAACCATCACCACCAGAGACACTAGGTAACGTGAATAATTCAGCATCCTTCATGATACCTTCATCAGCTATACTTTCTACATCCAATCTCATATCATTTGTGACATCTAAATTCTCATCAATAAACAAAAGGTCAACATTGTCATTTTCAATGTCATCATCATAATCATCTGAACTGTCAAATGAACTGTCATCTTCACCACTCTCCCCTTCAGTATCAGGACTCTTGAAGTCATCATCATCAGTGGTAATGAATCTCACAAACCAACTACTTTCATCATCGTCAATGTCGTCGTCATCATCATCATCATACTCATCCTCTGCAAATGGCTCTGAGAATGATTCATCTGACTGACCATCACAGCCACGAACACAGTCAACAGTCTCAAAATTATGAAGGATTGCTCCAAGTTGCAGTCGAGTAGCTTCTATTTCAAACCTTGATATTAATGAGGGGGGAAGATTCAATAGCTCTTGAACTAATTTGATCATGGCTGTCTTATCAAACTCCATTACCACATCCCACTGTGTAATGTTTTCCACATCTTCCACTACAATATTCTCTGAAGATCCAGCTTCATCAGAATCTTTCTTTTCATTTTCATCCCAGTTCTCAGGTATCTTCTTTTCTTTCTGGACAATTAACTTCTTGCCTTTAAGTTTTGCTATAAGTTCCATGGATTTACCTAAAACAAAGATAAAATAATCCCATTTATTATCCATGAAGAAGAGTCCTAGAAAACTTGCTATGGCTTAGCTGATCAAGAAATTTTCCACCTATTATGCAACATGAAGGTTCATCACTGCTCACAACTACAGACCACTGGACCCTGTTCTAAACCAAATGAATCCAGCCCACATCCTCACTTTTTAAGATCCAATATAATACTGTCATCCTACCCTATGCCTAGGTTCTTTTAATAAACTTTTCTATACAACGCCCACTTCCCAAAGCATGCTACACATTCTATCCATTTCTACATCCTTGATTTGATCACCCTAATAACATTTGACAAAGAGCACAAATTAAGAAGTAAATTATCCAACCTCCTATTACTTCCTCCATCTAAAATCCAAATATTCTCAGTACCCTATTTTCAAACACCCTGGATTCAAGTTATCTTTGGGTGAAAGATTTTCACACCCATATAAAATAAGTAAAGTCATAATTTTATATATTTTAATCTTAAAGTTTTTAAACAACAAGAAAATTCTGAAATGAATGGCAGCAAGTATTCTCTCAATGAAATCTGCTCTTAACTACTGTATTAACATAATTTTGATTTATTATGGATGTTCTCAAATATTTGAATTCTGACACATTTTTAAAGATATATTAGCTATATTTCTATTAAAATTTTGACTTGCATTCTGATGAAACACAAATATATACTTAATTTTCCATTCATTATTGACAATAACAAATCTCCATATAAAGAAAAATGCATACGAAAATATCTTTCATACCTCAAAAATCATTACTTACATAGGTCTGTTGTGAAAAAGATGTGGTCTATAATCTGCCGTACACAAAGCTGTTGGAGGCCTGCACTTAACTTTCCAAACATAAGTATCATAACATCCTGAGGTCTAATGGCTGACAATTGAAGTGAATCAAATGAAAAGTGTGTTTCTTCATGAATAATCGTTTCAATTTCATCCAGCACTACTTGTGGGAAGCACTCGGACACAGCTGTATTGTCTACGACAGGTGAGATAGCACATGAAAACACTTTATCCAACAAGTGAACATGAAATGAATACACATTCCTACTAAACTCAAGTTTGGACATTAGATAAACAGATCCATGTCGCACATAGGGTAACGAATCCTGTAGCAGAGGTGCTAACATAGCTGAGACTCCAGTGACAGCTCCCACTTCAGTAAACAATTTTGTAGTACCAATAATGGCACGTGGAGCATGACTGGCACCCTGATGTAATAGCTCTGTTGCTACTATGGGTGAACCAGCAAACATGGACCGCCATAAGGCAGTTTCATTAGCACAGTTTTGAGCTTGCAGTGATGAAATCTAAAAATAAAATAAAATTAAAAAAAAATCTATCAGCATGATTCCTGAATAATAATTTTGTTTCTCTAGTACTGGTACTTCAACTTCAAGGAGCAGAATAATTATTTAAAGTCTAATAGTAGCTAAGATAGTCAAGAAACACCCTGCCTTTTATAAAACCCAAAGGTTCATTATGGTGTTCACAACATCCTGTTACTGGTCTCTATTTGAACCACATAAATCAAATCTATACCCTCCCACCCTGCATCTTTAAGGAAAGATCTTCCCATATGCCTAAGTCTTCCAAATGGCCTCTTCCCTTCAAGCTTTCTGCCAAAAACTGTGTATACATTTCTAATATCCACCATGCATGGTATATTCCCCACCCATATCACTTTTCATTAATCATCCTATCATTTTATGCTATATCTGAGCTCCTGACAGCAAAACTAACTAAACTATAAACAGATATCCTGGAATCATATTTAGTGGCACAAGTTCTTGTATAATGTCACTTTAGAGATGACAGTCATGTTGCATAACAAAAACTAACATCTGGTTTCTTCTTCAAAATGTTGTAGAGGATGTCCATTGCCACATCATCATCTGAAGATGTAATAAGCTCCATTAACGGTGTTGTTCCATGAGCATTAGGCTGATTCAGGTCTCCACCTGCAATAAATATAATAAGATGCTCTTAAAATGTAAAATTAAGTAATGCTGTTAGGAGAACAATTTATCACACCATGCCATACAGCATTACACTGACCCACTAGCATTCAAAAGGTAATCCGGTTACTGTTACCTTATGACAGGTCTTCTATCAGTTATTTCTCTTTCTGAAGTGCTGCAGTGTGCAAAACCACATGCTTTTATTCTCTGTGTATAACTTCAGTCTTGTGGGCTATCTGATGATCTTCTGTTAATGTTTGAGAGCAATATCTCTCAAAACATGAATTTTTACGCAATCTGGTAAGTATATAAAAATATGTAAAGTGCAGACTGTAAAAAGCTATCCTGCTATATGCCATGTAGGTGCTCAGGGGGAGAGGTCTTGTAGCTCCTACTCATTCTCAACCTCAGCGGTGAGTGGTCAGCGTCATACCCCAGCAGCGCTTAATGTAGACTGTACAATAAAATATCTGTACTTATCAGAATAAACAGCATTGAAATGAGTGTAATAAATGCTGTAAATAAATGTCAGCTGATCTACCAACAAAAACCTGAGGCTGAACTTGATTGGGTATGGTGTGGTAAAGTGAGCACACAGGACCTAAACAACACAGATGCATAAAAAGGGAATTCTCTCTAATACATACACCATGCTCAGTCAAGAAGTGACAATAATAACTGTGTCCCAAACATTATAATGGCTACAATTTTAAAGTCAAAAACCGAATTTATTGAGGCAAAGGAATATGAACAATATTCTTACGTAAATGTCACAGAGTTTGTCATTGTCAACCTTCAAAACATATGTGGCCACTATTTGCTGCCCCAAGCGATAAAATAAAATTATATAATACATGTAGCACTTGCTAAAAACAATATGTATTCTGGAAATAGCTGCTGCACTATGTACCTTAGGGACAAGTTCTGTCTCGGGTACATGGAAGTACATACCCCATAAAGTGGTGAAAAGATGGGACAATAATAATAATAATAGCAACAACAACAATAATAACAACAACAATAATGAAGAAGAAGGAAGCTGATTTTGGAAAGGGGCCTGCCCATTCTCCATTATAACTGGTGACCATGATAAAGGTTAAACCTCAAGAACTGGCATCACGTGATATAAAAAATAAGTATCATGCTTTGCAAACTGGAATGTGATATCTGCCCATACCTGCTTCACACAGCTTCATAACCAGCTCAATGTTAGGATTAGAATGTGCCAAGATAACATGGTACAAAGTGGAACTGCACATGCTGGTAATTACATTTGGATTGCCACCGCATGCTGAAATCAGAGTTCACAATTTATCCAATGGAAAATTAAATATAAAATTGCTTTAGTGCCTACGCACAATATCACGTAAGTGTATGGTAGCATGGATACAATAATCGACATATTCTAGATCTCAACATCATCTTGATACTTGACGGGGATAAGTCATTAGCCTCACACATAAAACTAAATATCTAATGACATACCTAGGAAGACATCTAAAAGCTCCATGAGTTGTTCCTTTAACTGAACAAGAGTTAATTCTGTTTCATCGTGTAGACCAATTGTAAATAGTGGGTCAACAGAATGTCCATATAATGTTCTGAAACATAAAGAGGTCAAACACAATTCTAATCAACACTGGCCTAAATTCACTCAAAATAAAGTGATCCATAGTAATATACACACACATTCCTATAAAAATGCATAATTCAGTAGCATATTGGACTGTGCTAGAATGATTAAAAACCTGGGGTCTCGGTGTGATAGAACCTTGCCCAACAGCACAGATGTTGAGGAAGAAAACTTCCTTAATATGTAAATGAAGGAAGATCTAAATTTGGCAGAGGCAACACCCTATCACTAGCTGGATCTGGCCCATGTGAACTTTTACAGTTTCTTTCATCACATTTCTCGGTGTGATAGAACCTTGCCCAACAGCACAGATGTTGAGGAAGAAAACTTCCTTAATATGTAAATGAAGGAAGATCTAAATTTGGCAGGGGCAACACCCTATCACTAGCTGGATCTGGCCCATGTGAAATTTTACAGTTTCTTTCATCACATTATTTAATTCATGACTGCCACAAACTTTACGCTAGAATATCAAGGTGTTCGATGTTTTAACACTACTAAACCAATATTTTTAGTAACTCATTACACTAGCCTTCATTTCAGACTCAATCTTTTAAAATATGCAATTAAATTAGTTACAGCAGCTTTTGATTTAATAAATCCATCCTGAGATATGTGTAATTTTAATTTAAAATCCAATTAAAATCTAATTTTTTAAAATAAAGGACATGTGGCATGTCATATACATAGCAAACACAAATGATGTGAGTGGTTTAAAATAACCAGACAGCATACATAACAAAACTTACACTACTGGAGGCAGAACTTAAAAGCTTTTGTAGCATGCAAGATTGATATAAATCCAACAATGGCTACTACAGTGTACAACTGTTGACAGTTGTCAAATGGCAAGTCAACTGAAGAAAATGTTTTGTGTGTTTGGGTTTCATTACGTTAACTTTGTGACAAACTTTCAACAGGATTTTTAAGGAAGTCCACAGAAATCCTCCATGTATGAATTCAATTCACATTCTTGGATTGAGTCATTATTTTACCGCCATGTCAACAATTGTGCTCCTAGTGGCAATCACTGGAGTTACATCACTTCTCCTATATGCTACATCAAATTTTACAAAATTCTCCTTCCAATTGATGTATGTTTCATTTTTGTATGGTTTAGTTTTTGTTAAATAAATATTTGAAACTGCTCAGCTCATTTGTATTCACTCTGTATATATTAAGAACAAAACCAGATGGCATGGGAAAAGACATTGTGAACAGTAGAATATCTATACTGGATCAATATATATTTATATATTACTCCCAATGAGAAGTTTGAAACAAATTCATCTTCATAGTATCAAGAATTCTTGCCTACAAAGCTAAAAAATATGGGTCCTTGTTTCAAGGATTATTCCAACCTTCTCTGCCAACTCTATAGGTTATATATAAAATGGCACAATGACTGAATGATGAATTTTTTAGGGTGTTGAACTTGGCACTCATAACTCTTCTTAAGGTACTATTCAAACACTTGCATGGTGAGATGAAGGAAACCCATAAAAACTTCTGGATAAACAATGTGGATAATTCTTTCACTCTTCACAGTCAATAAATGCAACTGGCATTTCTAACATTAAAAACACTTCATTTCTATGTGCTTAAATCCTAGAAATATACTCAATTTATTCACTTGTTTTGTGCCATGACTATCTAAATGGAATCCATTCATGCCAAAAGAACTACATTCTATTATTCCTCCTACTATTGAACAAATGACTTAGGTGTAGTGATCATACTGTACATTTTACTCATTCCACATCCTGCTTACTAGAATCTATGGGAGGCAAATATCTGTCTAACCATTCATCAATCTACCTATTTAATACACATTAAAGAAATATGTTTATTACTAACAAAGCATCAGTTTCATTTCTGTAGAGAGTATCAGCATGTTCATACAAAGACAAGACATATTCCATAGGACTACGGCTTGCTGCCATCCATTCGACTCCTGGAATTCGAAGGTTAGGATTAGCTCCTCTTTCAACCAATAATTTAGCCAAACGAAGATGACGTGGAAATTTCCTTAACTCAGCATGACTTGATAACACCAAAGTTAATGGAGTTTTCTGAAAGGGACCTGAGAAGAAAAATAAAATTACTAATTGCTCATAAACAAGTTAGCACAATTTATACACCTTGCCAATATACACAACAATACCTTCGTCTAAATAAGAAGGCGACACGTTTTCGTCAATCAGTTTTTCAGCGGTTTTGAAGTCCCCCTTTTCAATTGCAGATGAGAGAGGCGTATCATTAATGCCTAGCCGTACATGGTTTGGATTTCCACGGTAATTAGCTGTCATTTTTACTTTTCCCGCGTAGCCTTATATGGTATAGTTCTTCACACGTTCTAAACAATTAATAATAAATAGCTTAAAAACCAGAGGTATAGCATATATATATATATATATAAAAAAAAACGTTACGTATGTTACATATTTTGTATGACATTTCAGAGCTACAGAACACATGTAGAGGTTATGTTGTTTATAAACATGACAAGAAAAGTTTTAATGCGCTTGCTAATCCATGAAACAATAAATTAAATTAAATAACCTTCTGTTTATTAGTAATATATTTACTAACATTCATTACGATCTTGCTTTTATCTCTATTGACAAAAAACGACAAACAGATCGACTTCCTTCTTAGGTTAACACGTAACCGGCTATTTTTCCCCGAATTTCTAATTTTATCCATGTGGCCAGGCAGAGATGAAAACCCATATAGACCCATAAGTATCACCTTCATTATGGCAGAACCATGGATATTGAAAGTGAAGGGTTACCACGGCAATCATTAAAATATGCACAGAGGTACTGTCTGGTTGGACAATTGATGCTAAGAAGCAAAGCATAATTTGAAAGTGACCTATAGATACTGCATTCGACACATATGACAGACACAAAACAGGTCATCGATATTTATGACTGGATTATTTATATAAACTTGTTTCATATTCTGCACAATGCTAATAATCAAATTTTAATAAGGAAGCCGGGGAAAGGTCAGGGCAGATGTTGAACGGTTGTTCCGTCATACCTAAGCAGCATTCTTTCTGAGAACCTAATAATCACTCAGAAAGCCAATAAATTCTTCGCCTTTCATGGAACTGAATTCCCAAGAGCCCAAAACCGAGCGCTATTGTGAGCCAAATTAATTTAGTCGACATCGGCACACACTGTCTGAGATCTGTTTCAATACGTGCTATTCTTTAATATCATCTAATTTGTCCAAATAATCTCTCCATTCAAGTTCCCAAACATGCATTTTTCATCTGTGCCATGCGAGCTCTCTGAATCGATAACCACGCAACACAAAATTGTGTTAAGTATAAATGCAAATTGCATTGTCGTATGTACACAATGTGGGACGACAAAAATTCTGCCGTTCACGAAAAATATTTGTTTGCACATGCATTTATTTCATAGGCTGTTTCTTCAGGCCGAAATTACAATTATCAAAGCATGAGTTGATTTGATTTATCAGCATGGCGCGTAAATTGCAAGGTCAAGTGTTTCGGCGTGAATACCACTCTGATCGTGTATTGTTAGGAGTGAAAGTGCCTAAAAGTGTATATCTAAGTGCGAAGTTAAATTTATTTATGTGTTTTATGTTCAGTAAAATTATATCAGTTTTGCAGTGCATATTATACCAGTGCAATACGAACTTGGCTCAGCCACATGATGTGAAACCTCATCTCTTCGTACGCGAAAGTGAGTCGGTGACAGCTGTCAGGTGTAGGTGAGTTGCAAAAATACAAACAAAATAACGTTCGCATGTCTGTGTGTTTTCAATTTTGAACACAAAGAGCATGCTGACTTTTAACCTATCCGTCCTAATTCTGGATAACAGCTTACAGAACAGTTTCGGTCCCGAATGACGTTTCAAATGTTTCTTGATATTAGTTAACAGATGGCGTGAAGAGTACATTTACGGTCTCAAGTGAAGTTTGAAATGACACAGTTTCTGACTCATTGTTATAATTGTTGGTAACAGATGGCGGTAGTAATACATGTCGTGTTATCAGAGTAGTACGTCTATATGAGTAAAACATATAACAGATGGTGCTAGCAGTACATTTCTAACTGTCGAAGTTATTCGCTAGTACCAGACTGTATACAGAATACATTCAGTGACCAGTGAAAATTTATTGGCATTTTGTTAAATGATCCAACACTTGTGAGATTTTAAGTTCTCACGCTGCT